ATCATTATGAACAGCTTCGTTTGTTTTTTTTCCGTGAACCAGGCTAAGACTTTTCCTGTACTCTTGCAAAAATCTATAATGTGATATTTTACAATATTGAAGGTTTCGGTAGACCAACTTTCACAAAAAAGACCTATGCACTCATCCATGAGTTCATCACCAAAACAATATCTCATCATAGCATCCGTATTATCCAAAACCATTAGCTGATGATCAAAATTGCATCCTTCCAAAACTACACGTTTATCAAGCACCTACAATGGCGACAAGCGAATCCAAATTGCGCATGATGAGTCGCATTTGCAGCAGCCACAGGATTTCAAGTGTTATTGGGATCATTATTGGCCGCGTTGTCTTTCGTCATAGCTGATTTGAGACCGGGCTGGATAGTTTGACGGTCGGTATGTTTCATACGTTTAGCCAATTTTAGCGTATGTAACATAACAAAAATATAGTGTAAAGTTATGTACATACTGACCTTATTAACACTCGGATTAAGATCTTTCTTAAAGCTGAGTTAATCTTCGTGAGAGATTTTTTACCATATTTACATATCTTTGATGTATTTTCAGTAGGCCGATTGACAGCACATCCCGCCCCTGCTGCCACCCTGCTCATGCCGTTGATCACATTTCATAAAGGAAGTGTAAAAGAGAAAGAGATATCGCAACAAATTCTCTCTATCATACCTGTTTTCTAAGACATGGAGTGGGAGTTGTTCCACCAACGACCCGATGAGACAGCTTATAGAAGTTAAATACATTCAAATTCATATCCCTGTTCATTTGGTTTTTGCTTGATTTCGTTGAACTTCGATGAAATTCTTCAATTTTTTCTGATGTTCTTAGAACTTTTTTTAAGCTCTCAGAACGTCTCTGAGTCTTGTGAGTCGTAGAACTTATCAGAAGGACATTGAACTCCCCTGAAGCTCACAAAACGTCCCTGAAGTTGGCAGAACTTTCCTGAAGTTTATAGAGCTTCTCTGAAGATTGAAGCACTTCTTTTTCTGAACTGAGATCAATAAACTTCTCTGAAGGTTGTTAAACTTCTCTGATTCTTTTGAGGAACGTCTTTAACTTTTCTTAAATTCACTACAGTTCCCTATAGTTCGCAGAATTTCCTAGAAAGTCGCTGAGCCTTCCTGAAAGTTACCTTAGACAAAATATGGGAACTGCAATGAAGTTCTAGCAATTGTGTAGTAATTAAAGGTTAGCCAAACTCACTGGGCAAGAGCAGCTAATATCATGTGAGTTTCATTCCTGTATTATCGGCATTATCTGTTAACCGATTTTCAAACAACTTCGTCATTGGTTCCAGAAATCCAAACTAATTTTCTATCCCTCAGGGTTGTAAATGCTACCTTCGTCACCAGCTGAGTACGGGACACAAACATTTCAGATACCTACTAACTCCTTTATTGAACTCTGATAAAAATCTTTCAACGAACGTCGCTACTAAAGTGACGTGATTTTTTTTTGACAGAATCGCTTTTCGAAGCACAACAAGCGAACTCTCTATTTTCTTCGAGAGATTCAAAAAACACTCGAAACAGGCAGAAAATCAATGCCTACTACGATTACGTGGCTGTCTTGGACTGTCCTGCTTGTTTATTTCTCTTTTACTCTTATGAGGGAAGAGACATTAAACAAGAAGTTGTTCTAGCAACAAATATTAATTGATTTCGCGCAAAGTCGACGTAATCAATACGCATCTTGCTTGAGAGTCAAAGAGAACTCTTTAATGCCATTTGGATTAATTCAATCAACTTTTGAACCTGATTTAACTGCATTTGTTCAATTCGCAATAGTTTGTATCGTCAATAGTCCAATATATGCCTTCGTTATCGGCGTTGTAAACTTCAAAACACCTTTTCTCAAAAAACCCAAGATGAAATATTTTCAAACCATCACAGAGTTGATTGTTAGGATCAATACTAACATCATAGAAGTAACTCTAAGACCACTGGGTCCCGAAGAAAATCATTATTATTTTTGGCTCACTCAGTACCAGAACAACGGTCCCAAGCAGTCCCAAGCTATTTCACTCACCCCTGCATGTTCTGCATGAATCCACACACCCCTGATGTTATCTGTCAAACTTTCATAGCGAATCAAAACAAACATAGTGTAGTAATAGAATTTCAACTAGAATAGGGTACGTTAATCGTTTGCTTGGGACCAATAGGCTACTAAAGTGGTGACTCAATTTAAAATCGTTAGTTTCGTATTGATTGTTGCTAACATCCTGTGAAGAAAAAACTGAGGTACATGAATGTTGCAAAAAAAAGTGCCTTCAGACATAGCGTGCGGTGCGGCTTCTTCCTCCTTCTATGGATGCTCATGTGGGCTGCAGCTCGCTGCTTCCAGACCGCCTTTCGTTGTGTACTGGAGAACACCTAAGAGGAAGAGGTGACAATTGGCTTCTTCCTCTTTTATTTATATCTCTATCTCTATCTTTATCTATCTCTATCTCTATCTTACGCACATGAAATCGTCCAATCAGGAGCTGGTTCACGTTTGACAGAAAAGTGGTTCATTTTCACCCCCGTATTGTCACCTCTTCTCTTAGGAGAACACCACCACTCGCCCCGCAATGATTGAATAAACACCGTTTGGTGAGACCGGATGGAATTCAACTTTGAAATCTGTGCTAAGGAAATCGCTTTTCACAGGCAATCGGTGACAATTTAATTATCAAAGCAACAGTTGCACATTCGTGCAATTTTCAATAGTGACATTTTGAAAAATGATAAAGTCTTAATTTAACAGATGCGTAGAAATATATCTGATCGATTGGTGATAAAATTATTGAAATTGTTCTAGGGGCAGCTGAGTTATTAGCGTTCAAAATCTTGGTTTTCACAAAGTGTACCCATATAGAAATCACAGACGTAGTCCTACGTCAAAAAACATCATACCTGATCGAGTATTCATAATAACAACTTGTGGCGATGATCCACAAGCTCCATTTACCTTATCGTAGAGTTGCTCAATGTGTACGATTTGAATTGAGTTTTCGGGTATACCGTTGTTTAATGCACATGGGACAGTTGTCCACTCCTGGAGCAGTTGCTCAATAGATTTTTTGCGACTATATGTGAGTGTGGCCTGCGGGGGTGGTGCCGACGACGTCGGTTCAACCATGTCAATCTCTTCTGCACCGACATTATTCTCAAAATTGTAATCTGGAACCATTTCTGAGCTTGATGACTCCCAATGCAGGTCAATTGGTTTCTCACTTTTTGTATTCTTTCCTTTTCGTTGTGCTGGGTTTTCCGACAGTTCTTGCTGCAATGAAAATAATATAGGTTATGTAATTGGATTCGGTTGAACGGCAAATGTCAGTAGCATTTTTTCAAATTGTGCCCGAAAACTCGGCAAGTATCAGTTTAATCAATGCAGTGGATTTTATTGATACATTTATCAATGGGAAAAGTGGCAACATGTAAATCAAACAGTGTTTTACTTGATTTAATGATATCAGATGCGCTAATCATTTGAGGTTATAATTACCTTCAATTCTGGAAGGTAATGCTGCTTAAGCACGCGGTTTTTGGCAACATTCAATCGTTTACGACCCATTTTATGTATTCCAACGATTCACACCCGAGTATTTTAAACAACGCAAAGCAAATAAAACAACAACAATTTCGCGACGACAGCACCAACAACTCACAAGTTCCCGACGTAAAGCGAACAGACAATGACATTTGATAACCAAAAATAATTCATCAATGAGGTATAGAGATAGCAGATAGCCAAATATCTTTGTATTAGTGAGCCGAAAAATCTGAAACGCGCGCAGTGACGTCACTGTTTGCAAGGGAAACATATACTGATAACAGCAATTTTTAAAATAACGAACATTCTGGATGGCTCGAGTGACACTTGCCTTTGATAAAAAACACGTCTACTGAGGATTCATATTTCTAAAAAAGTCATCTATCAATGAAACAGTCATTGGTCGTCATTGAAAAGCAATGCAACTATGTTCTGTCAATCTAATTGAAACTTTTATTGACTCTGTTGTCTTGTGAATTTTAGCTATAACGGCCTCTTTTCTGATTTTATCTCTCAATCTATGAAATCTACACGAAAACTATGCATAAACGAAATTTCTAGAACAGTTTGAGGAACATTATGCCGTAGACTACACATTTTTATATCATATGGGTGGAAAGTTCGTAGAACAAATACTTTAAAATTCTTCACTTTTTAAGATATCTTCGAGCATGAAACTAAGTCAACCTTCAATAAATCCACTTTGAATAGTCAACCTATGGTCACAAAGTTGATAGATAATACATTAAGCTTTGCTATGAAAGTTGTTACATCAGAAGTGCAAATTAACATGACAAACAGTAATCTCGGTTGACCCGTTGCATTCCAAACATTTCTGTTAAAATGGACAGGTCTACATGCCATATACTGTCAAGCATTATTTGGAAAAACTTAACGAGTAAAATATTTAACGTGTGGGCAAACAGTGCGATATCAGCTTTACGATGGAATTGAAACTCGTAGGCCGAGTTCTGGAATCAAGAATCAATGTCCGATTTTTAACAATTTCTGTACAATTTGTGACTCTTTATCAAATCTAACCGTTAACGGTATGCAAAGGTGAATGCATATAGAAGTCATCTTTGATAGAAACATTCAATTGTTTGTTCAAACTCGTTAAAAAAGAAAGGTAAATAAACCGCGGGTTGTGCATAGTAGGACGGAAATTAGATCTAAAACTCTATTAGTGGTGCGTACTCTAACATTAGGGACTGTTTTGCGCTTATGTAGCTAGTTTTTTTTTCCGGTTGCGTGGTTGATTTTGACATATGTTATGTTCTAAAGTGCGAGTAGGTATCACTAAAATATGCTTTCCTACTTGTTTGCTTGTTTCTATGTTTCCGGAATTCATGCCTTTTATCTCGATCAGAATAGGGCATAGAAGTTGGTTGAGCTCAGTCACAAACATCTGTTTGGAAAGTTCGTGCGTGTTTTGGAAGGATGTCCCATATTACGTTGTATACCAATCGTCGAAGTCCGCCTGGCAGGGCCGTTGAAATAACCGCTAAGATAATTGGTGTCGATTTAAAGATAAAACTGTTAGATTTGATCAAGCTGGAACACATGACGGAGGAATTTTCCAAGGTTGGTCGTTTCTCTTTTCATCAGTTGAGTTTATCACGTTCTAACTTTATTTCTAGCTAAACCCTCAACTTACGATTCCAACAATCGTCGACAATGGAGTGCCCCTTCACGGCAGCCATGCGATAATGATCTACTTGGTGTCAAAATACGCGCAAGATGACGACCTATACCCAACAGACCTAATGATACAAGCACGCATCAATACATTGTTGCACTTTGAATCTGGTGTTTTGTATGCCCGTCTTCGTAGCACCGTGAAACCCATTTTCTACTTTGGTAGTTCAGTAGTTCCACACGAAAAGCTGAATGAGATCCATAGAGCGTACGATCTGCTGGAGGCAACGCTCCAATCGGACTACCTGGTTGGAAACACTCTAACACTGGCTGACATCAGCTGCAGTACCTCGCTGACCGTGCTGCACAGTGTGTTCCCGATCGATGCCAACAGGTGTCCGAAGTTGGTCGCATATCTGCAAAGATTGGAGGATAACATGCCCTACTACAAGGAATTCAAAGCGGACTGCTCTAAGGCAGCTTATTTGATCAAGCAAAAGTTGTAGGACACTAGGCTTATGTGTTTGTATCGTTAACTGATAAAGACAAAGTCATGCATATTTGCTTTAGAAAATGTAGAAATGATTACTTGGTGCCGAATGTTGCTCACCACGCTAGGAATTAATGTGAACAATCGAAAAAAGGGTCAAATCTGATAAAACATAGAGAGTCTTGTTTTGTGTACTAATTCTGGAATTTAGTGGTTTGAAATGTCAGCGATGAACTAGTTTAACTGAAACAATTCAGGGGGTTTTGAAAACAATTGGTTGGTTGAAAAATCGTGAAAAATGATTAAGTTCGTTTTATTTTTTTAATTCGGCGGCCATTATGCCCATCACCTTTGGGTTGCATGGCAAAAGTGAACGACATTACTTAGGCCCATGGCAGAGTGAAAGCTGGCGGCCGAGCTGACCAGCAAAAGGAATTAACAATTATTAATAAAATCGTTTGTTCGTTCAGACCATACCTAACTAATAATCCAAGAATTAAGTATAGTTAAGAAGGAAAGCCTAAATATAATCCCCAAATGCTTGGTAACCATCATAATGAAGTAACATGAAGCAGTGCTGAGATTTGTCATTGTCATTGACAGACTTTCGCGCGATATTGACAAAATTGTTCGTCACACAGTCACTGATAGACTTGATCCTCAAAAAAACCTTCGTCAAAATCTCATTCATTTTTTTCGTCAATGACAAAGATTCACCTGGTAACAAAAAGTGTAATTTCGTACATTCTGTGTTACATTATTGTTATATAAGCAGTTCAGGACGTAGATGCTTGTTGACATTAATGGTTCCATGTAATAGTGTTGCTCAAATCATTTAATTTCGTTAAAAATTTAGTTAATATAAAAATCTACACATGTTCGTCACTGACAGCATTATCATTGATAATTGACATGGTTTGCCTTGACTGTGACTGTTAGCTCAAATGAGTGACCAAAGCAAAATTGTCAATATCACAGTGTATTGTCGAGATTTTGCAGCACTGACATGAAGTAACACATGATCCGGATACAATCACATCCTTATGCAGGGATCAGTCCTTCATCCAGAGACCAGTCCTTCATCGTTCTATGTTTCGTACAAATGATCGGTAATCTTCCGGTAACAACGTGTGAATGTTCGTTATTCACCAGCTCTAGTGTTGCTCCGTCCAGCTCTTGATCTCATCAGCCACTATCAGATTCTGCGGAAGAACTACCGTTTTCTGCGCCTTTATCACCGCCACCCGTTCCCGCTTGGCCAGGTCCCACCGGACAATGATTTCATTCTTAATCGTTATGTACAGAAACCAAGGGGTGAGACAGCTTTAATCTGAGTTGTGAGTAACTCACTGTACCTCAAAATTTACTCGACGTTCATCGATGTTTTTGTCTGGTTACTCTTTGGCTTACTCCGTTTATCCCTTTCACATATTAGACGTAAGTCTTGTTTGTAAACAAAATAGAATTGTTCGGCTATTGAAACGATGTGAATTCCAGATTTTGATCAGAAAATGTCTTGAACGATGCTGGAAAAGCTTCGAAAGGGGGCGCATTAGCGTCGATTTTCATCTACTTCTCTGTGCCGATTGGCTGCTGTTATTGTTTTGGAAGTGCTTTTTGTTCGAATTCCTCCATTTCAAAACGATGAATGTGAATTAGCTGTAGGTAGGTGAACATAAGCAATTTGTTCTCGTAAAATAACCACAGGAATCGTTTTCAGATGTCCACCGAGAAGAACGTGAAATCGTTATAGGAAATCACTGGCATACATGGGAAATATCTTCCCTGTTGGATAAAAACTAATTAACATCCGATTACTAATTCCAGATCCAAAGGAAAAGCTGCCAACCACTATCCCAGATTGTTCAGCCAGAGCATTCCCAACAAACAATTGAGAGCTCTTATAAAACACCTGAGTTGATCAAACGTTGAATAATAGCTTCTAGAGTTGAACAAGAATGTAGTTCTATTGCCATTTGATTAAAAGTTTTAAAATCTGTTGGAGCACTCTTATATGATTGTTTACGTTCGGTTTAACTATATGCTTTATAAGACCTACGATAACTTTTATAGCACCTTTGTTAAACTGATTGACAAGAGCTATATAGAACGTGAAATAAACGCATCAAAACAAACCATTGGAAGCTCTTATAAAACACCTGAGTTGATCAAACATTGAATAATAGCTTCCAGAGTTGTACAAGAATGTAGTTGTATTACCATTTGGTTAAAAGCTTCAAAAGCTGCTTGGAGCACTCTTAAATGACTGTTTACGTTCGACCAACCACCAACCACAATTTTGTTGCTAAAAATAGCACAAGTGATAGGCACGTTTATATGACCATAAGGCAATGATTATTCGACTGCAAGATAAGTCACTCAAGATGAGCTTCATATACTTCTCTCATATGATCAAAATATGTATTCAAGAATAGAGCAGATGGAAACAGAAGCGGCTGGCAATCCGGGATCATGAGTTCGAATCTTGCTTCGAGAAACCCCCGGTGGTAGAGGTAAATTATATATAGGTGTTATTAATAAATGCAAACATTAATTTAAGACATATATCATATAATCAACGATAACATTTCTAGATAAATTCTCTCAATTAATGATTAAAGAGATTAATTGAAAGAATATCAATCAAAGATTAAACAGATGCTTGTTACTACTTCCTCCATGATCCCAGAATGTGAATTATGGCATAATTACATATTTTTTCAATGTGCACAAATAAATTAAATTAATTAAAACTGTACAAGCAATTATTTTGGCGTACCACGACAATTGTTAAACTAATTTTAATCTGTGAATATTGTGAGTACTTACACAACGGTTATTAAGGAGTCATTAAAAAGTGCTATAAACGCTTTTCACCGCTTGCTGTATAGTGATTATTTAGGAGTCATAAAAGAGTGTAACAAACGCCTCTCAGGTTCAATCTCTAATACATTTCGAAGCAGCTGTTAAGAGGTGTCTACAAACGTTGTATAAGAGCTTTCACCAAAATAATAAAGCTTGAGTTTAAATATGTAATATCTATAAACGTTGTATAAAAGTTGCTTCTACTCCTATACCGCGTATACATATAATGCTGTAGTTGAACAGGTTCTCCAAACCAGTGTAAACAAGAGTTTTACAGAAGTTGTAATAAACAAATTGTACAGTTATTATTCAGCATGCAGTTGAATAAAATCACAATGGAAGCGTTTCTTCAACAAGAAATTGATTTTGGGTAAACGTTTTATTGAATACGTTAGACAACACCTTTGTGTTGCAGTTGTATAGGTTCTCCAAACCAGTGTAAACAAGGGTTTTATAAAAGTTGTGGTGAACACATTGTGCAATTATTATTCAACATGCAGCTGAACAAAATCAAAACGAAAGCGTTTCTTCAACTGGAAATTGTTACTTGGGTTAACACAGTCGACACTGCTGAAGTCGAAGAGGAGGAGGACGATGAAGATACAGCTCCCAATATTTCCGGTGAGTACGATCCTCATCCGGAGAATCTCAGTGGTGGATTGCAGAAAACGGCCCATTTCACGATCGTAGTTTCATCACCGACAAACCGACATGAAACTTAAACTTAACTCTTGATCGAGAATCCATAACGGCCGATTCAAATGTGCAGCGATTCCATCTGTCAAAACCATATAAATGTTTTATCTAGATAAAAATTATGTATCCGAAATAGATTAGACACGAACAAACTCATAAATATTAAACGCGTGTTCGTGGCTAGGATACATATTTTCCGCGAACACGGCGGCAGATGTCAGTTTTGTGCTTTGAGCAGAAATTTCTTCGTAATTTGTATGATCATTCATGTCGGTTTGTCGGTGGTTTCATCTAGCCGGATCTGGAGTATTTGGTCAGGCCGAGTTCTTCTACCACATCAAACCAGTTGTTTGTTGTTGTTTTTTTTTGATAGCAGCCCAACTAACAATTTCAGCTTTATAAGCCAACTTTTCCAGCATTGCAGATACAGCTACAAGCAGAAGCTAGCAAAGTAGTTTTGGATAGCGTTTCCTCAACTTTCTCACAACCATTATTCAATTTGTCAGTCGCACTGAATAACATCAGCCAATAAACGCTAATGTCACTTCTATACACACACTAATCAACTTTCAACTTGTAGCTGCAAAACAAAGCTAACAAAGTGAATATATTACTCATTTGATGGCTTCTACACAACCAACCACTCTTGCTGAATAACATAAACATCAAAACTGCTTTTTCAACAACTAAACAACCTGTACTCAGCTTATAAACTGTGTTAGAGCAACTTCGGAAGCATTTTCACAGTCAACTAGGTTTACTTTTAGACGTGTACAGTTTTACAGCTTTTACTCTGCTCTTTTATAACTAGTCGTGATTCATGTGCACTATTATAAAGCCTCTACTCAGCGATTTTGTTGTAGAAGGGAATGTTGATTTGTTTACATAAGTTCAAAGTGTTGGCGTAGCACAGTTAGTAGTGTCAAGGTTTGCCAATGAGGTCGTCTCGAGTTCGACTCCAGGTTTCGGTGCAGGTTAATGAATTTGGTGATGATTTGTAACTAATTTCGATTAATTTGATTCTCACAGCAAAATAAACTCAATAAATTCCTTCATAAAAAAGCGTAAACAGAATTTAACCCGGCTTCAAGAGAAAGCTGTTTAGTGATTATTGGATAACCAAGAAAAGGTTGAATAAGCGCCTTTCAAGTCCACACACAACTAAACAGCAGGATAACAGCTGTATAGAAGCGTTAATGGATATGGAATAAGATCTTCTCCTGACCGTTCCAACAGCCATAAGTAGCTGACTCACCAGTTTTGCTTGTATAGAGGTTGAGTAAAGGTTTCCTCATATCGTATATCGTTTGAAAACAGCTTGAGGCTGTATAAATGAAATGAGTAAAGCGTTTACATTGTGAAAATTGTTAGTTGGGAGCTTTTCGGCTTCACATCTTCATATATTGCTGTGATGTGAAAAGTGAGAATGCAATGACAGTGATCTTGCTCACTGAG